CTTGCATCGAGGGACCAGCCAAAAAATTGCAATTACAGTAATTTCACTCTAATTGATCGAATGATCGTATTTCCTCTTCCCAAATTGTCCATTTTTGCGTAGAATATGAACGTCAATTAGGGAGAATTTACTGTACTATAAACACGTACTTCATTTCTCTTTATAGAAGTAACAATAATACATTCCTTCGGATTTTTAACGATTTCCATCGTAATATTTTCCCCAAGAAACAACTGTATTTGATAAATTCCTGATTAACGTGTCCTTGCAACTTTAATAATCCTAAAAAAGGAACAAATTTAACCCCGTCATTCTCCTGTAAACGAAGTATTAAAAGTCAATGAACAATCCTCAGCGAAGCCTTTTGCACTAACACGCGATCTGCTACTTAACACAGTCGTTTAAATGATTGAATTTAGAATTTTACACTTATCGACAAAAGTTAAGAGGCTTCACATATCGTTAACATTTGACTAGAGTTCGACATTTTCAGAAATATACTTCTTATTCAATTAAAAGTACACATTACAGCGTATTTCAATTGTATTTCAATGTAGTTTCACTCAGAACTAACCAGAATAAACAGAAGTTTAAGTGAAAAAAAGAAGTCCAAATATAAAGTAGAAGTTAAACAATTAAAAAAAAGAAAAGGATTAATATTTTCGTAGACGCGGGCAAATTTGTTCTCCTGCGTTAAGAAAGTCTACTACACCGAACAATATATTTCTTAACTTCTGTCGGCAAGTGTAGCACGCTAAGTGAGCGATTCCAGACGCTGCTATTTAAACGATCCAATAGAACAGACGCAGATAGCTAAGGGACCCGATTAAATCGCAGCGAACAGAACGATACTCTAGAGAAATTTCAGGAGCAGTCGATCCACGACTGCTCGCAAATTCGTCAATATGTTCGCGCGACATCGAACATATTACCGCGCTACAGTAATGTCTCTCTAATTGACGCTCAGATTGTTCCCAAAACTGGACAATTTTGGAAAAGGAGATACGATTGTTCGAGCCTTGTGGCTCGTTTTTTTATGGTTACCGATTGTCAACAACTATAAAAACGAGTTGCAAGGCTCGAATAATCGCATCTCCTCTTCCCAAATTGTCCATTTTTGTGCATAATCTGAGCGTCAATTATTACTGTACTCCTTTCATTTGCACAGCATTTATCTAAATAAAACCAACGTCGAGAATAATATTTCATCACAACCGACAGATACAGGTAAATAAAAGAATCAGCAACGAGCTTTCACCGAACTAACTATTTTCCGAAGCAGTCAATTCACGACTGCTCGCAGATTCGTCAATTTGTTGGCGCGACATCGAACATACCACCGCGGCACTCCGTTCATTTGCAGACCATTTATCTAAATAGAACCGACGCCGGCGCCGAGAGTAAGATCTCGCCGAAACTGACAGCTACAGGTAAATAGAAGAATTAGCAACGAGCTCTTATTAAATCAGCCATTCAAGAGCGTCGCCTCTTTCGTCACGTTCGGTTAAACAGAATTCCACTTCGCTCGAATGACCGTTGGCGAAACGCGAAAGCAATTTCCTGGGCTCATTAATCTCCGCGTCTGCTTACATCGAGCAATACGAACGACCGCGCTTTGAACAAGCCGCGCGACGCGAGCCTCGCTTATCCGAGCGAGCTTGCGTTTCGAAAAGCTCGGTTGCGCAACGCGGTAGCTTTTCTCTGCTTTCGTTTCGCGGAGCAGCCGAGCGAGAGAGCGAGCAGCCTGGGCGTCCCGGCGCGGCTCATTATCGCCGCGGACACCTAACAAGAGGCGAAGAGGCTCTTGGATCGCGAAGAACCTGACAGCCAGAACCCGTCGATCCAGTCGTCGATCCTCGAGTATCGAGTGTCGTCGCCGCGGAACACTGTCGCCGATGAGGCCGCGGCGAATAAGAGAGAAAGGCGATCGAGAGCAGCGAGGAGAGAGAGAGAGGAGGCGAGAGAGGAGAAGAGAAGAGTCTACGACGGAGAGCAGTCGTGGGCGTTCGCGCAGCACGCACGTGGACAGCCGGTTCTGCATAGCAGAAGAAGGATCGGCGCACGTGCTCGTGCATGCGTTAGCGAAAGTGGGGCAACGCACGACGGACCACCCACGTTCCCCGTGTCCGTCTCGCCGGCTGTTTACGGACTCGCCGACTCGCGACGTCCGCGATCCCCTTGGCTCCTTCGACGTCCCTGCGACCGACCCGCGCACCTTTCCCCGCTTCTTTACGCTCCCTTAAACGCGCTCTGCCTTGTACGCTCATTTACGCTACCGCGGCCCCTCCGGCCTCGCGGACAGCACCTGTTGCCGTTCCGGCGCCTATGGAGAGGTGGTTTTCGCCTCGTCTCGTAGGTGGGTCCGCGTCTCGGGAAATACGGGATCGGCGAGTGACGTCCGCTTAATCCTCGGACTGCCGGCACCGTGCCAAATGGACGTCGCTAATATATTGTGCCGCGTTTTGGAGAACGCGCGGTTCTCTCGCAGCTGGCTCGTTTCGCCGGGAAAAATATTTAGGGAGCTTAATGTGTCGTCAGATTGTCTAGACCAGCGTCGAAAAATATTTATGGTGGGAAATTATTTACGAGGCAGTCTGCGCCGTCTGACGAGACATTGGGTTTCCTAAATATTTTCGCTCGGATATCGAGTCGGATGAGAGAGAGAGAGAGAGAGAGAGAACTGTCTGTTCTCCAAAATAAGGTAGAATATTAGTGACCCCATATGGCATCATGCTGCCGCCAGTTTAAAGGTTAAGGGGTAGACGACGCTGCGTGGAAGAGTCTAATGAGCTTATTGTATGGTGATCTGCAAGATTTGCTCGTCGGTTGATGCAAATCTTAGCGAACGTTCGTCTGAGTGCTTTCAAACGAGTTCAAGTTCAAGTTGACCGAAGTTCGCTTTCAGGTGGAACTGTTTGCACCATTTGTGATTGTATCGTCTCTGGAACGATATCACATGATTTTAACATCTCTAGAGCTTTCTAGATTCGCTTCATCCCCTATAGACGCACAGTCACGGACAAATATATGTGGACGTTCTTTAAAACGGTACAATATATGTCACATTTCAAGTAATAGCAAAGTTTAAAAAAAAAGCATTTCAATTATTGTCTAGTAGAGCAGACTCTCCATCATCTGAACAAAAATTTACGTCATTTAGTCTGGGTTGGAAAAAGTTATACCGCTTTAAGAGATGTCCGCATATATTTGTAATAAAATAATTACATGATTATATATGTAATTATATGTATATACAATATAATATAAATATTATATATATAATTATAAAATAATTATATATTTAATTAATTATATATATTATATAATTATAAGTATGAAATAATTACTAGGATCCGTCCACATATAACAAAACTATCCGTTGACAGCGACGTTGACAGAAACACCGAACCTCTCCGCGAGTGATCGCGGACCGTGCCGAAGCGAAAATCCTAAATCGCCTGTCTTATCCAAGCCCGTATCACAAATTACACAGGAATACTAATCCAGAAACATTGATTACCATGGTCAATTTCAGCAGCCAATTTCAGCGATAGCGCGTAATCACACGGGAACCGCTGTTTTGCGGCTGGAGAGTGGCCTCTGTACCATGGCTCTAACCACCGAAGACGAAACAGAGTCGCAGCCAGACAATTAACAGGAGTGGCCGGCTGCAGTTTCGCTAATCTTCGCTTCGGTCTCTTGTCGAACGGCTAAAACGAGACGCGGAATGCCGGAACAGAGACCCGTCTTGTCTCGGTCAAAACCACGGTGTCGGCGTGGAGATTCGCGGCAGGTGGGCGTCTTTTCTTCGAACCGGATGACGCAAATATGACGACAAGTTCTATCTATCCAGCCGTCGACGACGACGACGACGACGAATTCCCTTTTTAATTGGCCGTTCCGTCGATGATCCGTCGCGTCACACCGTCCCTGACCTAAGGCGCGGCGCGAGGGAAGCGCGGCGGAGTGGCCCCGTCGGCGCGTCGCGCGTCGTCTCGTCGCGTTCGTTCCTCCTTTCTTTCCTTTCTTTCCGTTCCTCTCCCCGGTTTCTTTCTTTTCGCTCGTTCCGTCCCGCCTCGTCGCCTCGCCCCGAGCCGTCATCATCGTCTTCGGCGCCGAGCCGCGCCGCACCGCGCCGCGCCGCACCGAGCCGAGCCGGCAGACCTTTTCGCCGCATCACCTCTTTCGCTCCTCCGCCTCGCGTCTATCGTCGAGCACCACTCCGCCTTTCTCTTTCTTTTCTCTTTCTTTCTTCCCCCCGTCCCTCCCCCGTCAACCCCTTTCCCCGTACACCTTTCGCCCGACCGTGCTCCGCGCTCCTTTTAACGGGGCCCCGTGGTTTTTGCCAACGGGAGCCGACTAGCCTCTATCCGACACCGGGGATCATCAGAACCCGCTACACCCAAGGCTGGCCGGTCCCCGGCGTTTCGTTAACGCTCGCGGACCGCTGCTCCGAAAACATTAGATAATCGGAAGCTACAGAGTTCAAGTTTATCGCGACGATTGCTTCCTTAACTCTTGTTATTCCCACAAGGTCTAATGGAATTCGACTTACGCAACCGCGCCATGGGAGAACAGCCAGAGGTGAACGAAGCTCTGCGACGTCCACGTACGCCGGGCCCAGCGAGGACAGGCCCTCGAGGGCCGGCCCTTCGAGGACAACGTCTGCGAAACGTGCCGACCAGGCGCGTCGTTTCCAAACTGTATCGAAGTCCAATTATACGCCGATAACGTAATCGCCGTCTTTTTACGCTGTTTATACTATCGATCGCGTACCTTTGTCGAGATCATTCTCTCGTCCCCTGTGCACAAAGGCAGACGTTCTAAATTCGCGATAAATTCCGTTCTAAAATCGCAACGCGTCCTCTGCGATAATTAACAGGACATGAAAGCTCGTCGTAGCTCGATCTACCTGCAAACCAGCGCGCCGCAAACTCGTCCTCTCGAATGGAATCGCGGCGAACGGTACCGGGGAACGGTGTTACAGCTCGAGAACTCACCTTGGCAGGGTCAGGTATCCTCTTCAAGCCGAGACCGCGCGCGATGCTGCGCCGTATGATCTCCAGCTCGCTCTCGTCGAGGACGGTGCCCGGGTCGCGGCGGTCCTCTTCTCGGAAAACGTCCTCGAACGCGTCCTCGTAGACGTCCTCGAGACCGGTCGAGTCTGCGAGGTCTTGCCGGAGACCGGTTCGCGGGAGCGTCGGGTCGGCCGACGGCGTCGGCACGGCCGCCGCGGGCGCGGAGATCGCGAGGATCGCCATCGTGATCGCCGCGAGCAGGAGGATCGACCGGGTCGTTGGTCCTCGACGGACCGACGGCCACGCTCGCCCGTCAGAGTACTTGCACACCTGGGCCCGCGAACCGTCCACCAGGATCGGCCTTCCCGCATCGCCGATCGCGCGAAACCCGGGCAACGAGGTGCCGGTTGCCGTCTCGAATGGAGATCGCGTCCTCGGAGACGACTCTCCTTCAGTTTTTCGGGATCGAGTCCTTGCGGCTGAGTCTTCTCCGGTCTCCAGAGTAGGATCTCCTCCGGTTCTTGGAGACCGTGTCCTTGGAGTCGTAACCGCTTCAGTTTTTGGAGGTTGCGTGCTTGGAGTACGGTGCCCTCCTGTTCTAGGAGATTGAGACCTTGGCGTGGTGTCTCCTGCAGTCTGCGGTGCACAGTCTTTCACAGATTTTGGAGACAAATGTCTTAGAGATTTTAGGGAGCGAGTCTTCGGAGTCGTAGGTACTCCAGTATTTGGGATCGAGTTTTCGGAAGTCGCTGGAGTCGGGTCTTCTCCAGTCTTCGAAGAAGAGTTCCCTGAAGACGCTAGAGTCGAGTGCCATCCAGTTTTTGGAGGCCAGTTTTCTCCAGTTTTCGGAGTCCAGTTCCATCCAGTTTTCGGACTCGAGAGTCCTCTGTCACCCGGAGCCGAGTCCCCAGCAGCTCCCGGAAATCGAGCGTTCGCGACCGAGCCCCCGGCAGCGGCAGGAGGATCGAGGCGGTCCCCGGTGCGGGCACCCGCGAAGATCGAAGATCGGCACTCGCGAACGCGTTCTCCTTGATCTGGTTCAAGCAGGCTCGCCTCGACGATTCTCGGAACAGCGCCGCGAGGAGCGATCCCGCGAATGGGCGCCGCGACGAACGCGCGGCCGGAACTGGCGGCGCTCGACGCCGATGCTTCCTGGTCCTCGTTATCACGGGTCACGCGTCCACCAGTCGTTGCCAGCTTTCCCATAGCCGGCTCGTGATGCGAGTTTGCGGCCGAACCGGCGCGATTGCTCCGGCCAGGGAGCAGCTCGCCGCTAGCACGCTCACCCGCTGCGAAGCCGGTGCTCCTTGGTCCTCGGCCCTTTCCGCGCACCTGCACCCTCGCCGCACCCTCGTCTTTCGCCCCGCGCACCGTTCTTCTGTCCCGCGACGAATCGCCGACCAGCAACGTGCTCGGCGCGGCTCTTCTTCCGCTGCCGCGCGATCTTCGCGCGTTTCTCGCGTTCTTCTTCTTCTTCTTCTTCCTCTTCCAGATCTCTGTCTTGCCGAACCACCGTGTCTTCGGCGATCTCTGCCCTGTTGGCCGCACTAAAATCACTCGCGCCCTTCGATTGTATCGTAAACGAGTTCACAACAGACGAAACCTCGCCGCCAGACCGCGCCGTTCTTCTCTCTAAGAGTTCCTTCTGCCGGCGAGTACACTGATCGCTCGCGTTGTTACCGCACTCTCTTCCTACTCGCGATAGTCCTTCCTCTTTCCTCTTTCCTCCCACCTCGCTCGTACACACCTTCTAGCTTGGCGTGCACGCTGTGCTCCTCGGGACACCACGTGTGCGTCTCTTCGATTCTCCCGGACGGGCACTCTCCGTTCTCTGTGCACGCTCCGTTTCAGGCGGATGCGCCGGATTCAGACGGAGCTCCTCTGACGGAGAAGCGGATAGCCGCGGTCGATGGTCCACCGATTCGGTTTCTTCTTTCTGCGCGACGGCAGCGGAGACTTGGAGCACGGGGAGCACGTCGGCGGCGAACACGAGGACGACGACGACGACGACGACGCGCACCAGGAGGCGACCGACAGGTCCGCGGACGGAGAGGAGAGAGAGGAAGACAGGGGAGACGGTGCCGAGGCGGTCATCTTAAAATCGCGGACCGATCGAGGATCCTCGTTCATCCACGACTTCCGGGAATCGATCCTTCCGCACGCTCCACGTGTCCGCCGATTCTCTTTCTTTTCTTGTTTTTCTTTTTTTTTTAATATATATATTAATTCGTCTTTCACTCGTTTCAAAGCTCGCCGCGGCTTTCTTCCGTGTTTCGTTCTCCACTCGCGCGATCGTTCGGAGCCGAGGGAACGAAAGCGACGGACGGACGCGATTATGGTCGAGGACGGGACGAATGGAAGACCCGCTCCGTTCGAGTGCCGCGCGTCGACTGCCGAATACCGTGGTAACGCGCGCTCGCGTATATATCCCGCTGACTACTCCCCTACTACTACTAACATCGACTACTACTACTACTGCTACGAGGAATTAAGTTCGATACGTGCCTCACGAATATCAATCGGCCCGATATCTGAACACCGTCGTCTCGTTACCGGCCGGTATTACCCGTGAAAGTGGACGGTCCTCGTTCCAACGGGCCCGAGCGGGAAACGATCGACGATCCGCGAAACCGGGCACACGAAATAGGAGCCGGCGAAATCGGTTCTAGGCCGGCGGAGTCGCCGGTTACCGTGGGCCTAACGATTGCCCCCCGGCCCTTTCGTTTCGACCCTGACTAACTATATATATTTACATTCATCACGAGACGGAAATTCTTTTATTGGAATATAAACGAAACGAAAGAAAATTTAACATTTATTTTGGCAATAATGAAATTCGTAAGAAATAAATGAAATTGCTTAAGAGTGCAATGAACGTACATTCTTCGTTGAATAAGAAGATTGTCGCGCCTTTTGGTTCATATTCCGGCACGATTAACGTTATATTTATCGAATAAGACACATTTTTAATATTTTATTTATTTTAATATATTATTTATTTTAGGCTATCTTTAATTCGGCCATAATTAACTTGATATTTATCGAATCGGGCACGCCGCATTCTTTTACTCAAAAATAAACGAGATAAGAGATAAACGTTCGATGAGCACAATGTTAATTGCGCTCGAAAACAAACCAAAGGCACAGCAGTCGGTCTCGCCCCACGGTAACCGGCTCCACTGCCCTTTGCGAGAGCAACGAAGATTGCGAGGTACATATGTACGTACATACGTGCCTCTTTGTTTTGGTCAACGAGGACCCGTTTCCTCAACCGGTTGCCGTCTAATCACCTATTGTACAACCTGAAGAGCCCATGACTTTTCATTTGTAAACACTCGCGAAGAAGCCGCGAACGGAGACAGGCCCGATAAAAATTTCGCCGCAATCAACGGAGATACAATCGAGAAAATGCGATCGATCGCCGAAGCGGGAGAACTATTGGTTTAATTAACGCTGGAAATACCGAGAACCGATGCCGCGGTTCTCGATATACAGGGTCGGTCGAGAAGTTCGCGCGGTTTTAATTATTCGTTCGAATTTCCCGCTATTTCGCTTAAATCCGCCTGTTCCATCGATCGTTCGTTCCGTGCTAGTGACAAATTGATGAATTCCTTGAAAACTATAGGGTGTCGAGTTAACAAGAATGTACATTTACGATTTAATCGTACGGCGAAACGTGTCGAAGATGTTTTTTTTTATTAATTTCGACGCTCCACAGTTTTCGAAAAATTGAGCACTTCGTTAAATTATTAATCGCGCGGAACGAATCAGTGAACAATTGCATAACAAAAGGAAAGTAAAGAAGAAGAAATATTATCGAGTGGCGTAACTGTTAGGCAATCATTGTTGTTGTCAAATTTTAATGGAAATTAAAACCGCGCGAATTTATGGACCGATTATTTTACTGTTTTATTTATTTTTAAGCTGCAATTAATATGCAATTAATATGCACAAATTGAATCAATCTATGCAATAATTTGCATTGTGCACAGTGCTCGCATTGTGAAACGGAGAATTCGAAACGGATCGAAGTGGTTTCAGCGCCGAGAAAGCGAAAAGTGACCGAAGGGCCGCGTCGAAGTCGCGAGTCGATTTATTTCTCCTGGTCGAAGGACTGCGAAACGATCGCAACGATTTTTCCCTCTGAAACAATCGATAGCTATCTAAGGAGGCCGACGGCGCGGCATCCAGCTTGTTCACGCGTAATCGAAATTCTTAACCCGCGAATGGCAGACGCTTCCGATGACTGCATATAGGCGGTGGTGACCAGATCTATTTAGACCCCTTACTCATCGACTTTTTTATAGCCTGTTTTTCGAAAGAGGAGACTTGACGTACACACCGGCGTCGATCATAATAGCTGTCCGTACTACCATAATCAGTTCGTGTACACGGGCGTTCGGGGTGTTTCAGGGCCCGTCGAACGACCGCGGCGGCTGCGACAGTCTTGGGCGCGCCTCTTTCGAAAATATAGATCGTGAAAACACGTCGACCTCCTGCCTTCGACCAATGTAAACAAACTATCGATTCTAGACAGCAGCTTCTTCAGGCTGGAGAACCACGCGAAGCTTTTACAGATCGAACGTCGAATCTCTGATTCTCGGTCGCGACGTTTCACCGAATCGAGGAGGCGAATCTATCGCGTCACGCGAAATCCGATCGAACAAGATGCGGCGAAAAAACGCGACACCAGGTGAGAACGTTTCGACGATGAATTCTCAATGTTCGGAGACGAAAAGCCCGTTAAAGTTGAAGACGGTTTGTTTTGCGATAAATCAGCGTGCGACGGCGCGGATATCGCGCGGAGGAATCGCTCCGCGACTTCCTCGTTCTGTCGACTCTTTTTTCCTCTATCATTAATCGATAGGAGCTGATCGATTCGGTAGTTTGTGGAGCATTCTTCCGCATTCTAAGAAACAACGAAACCCGATAAACTCCACCTCCTCGGCGCACAATACGATTTTCATTCCCGGAGAGTCGTAAGATGTGTCGCGATCTCTGTACGACGATCCTTTTCTCAACTGGTTTCTCGTTATGGTTAGATATTTATGCGAACGACGTTGGCTTCTTCATCGATGATTTTAATAAAAGTAGAAGTCAAGGTTGTAATGTCAGGAATTTATGATGCTGCGGCGTTCCGAGGTTTTGTTGTATATTGTAATCTTGTTCCATCGGAGACCTGTTGCGTTTCGGTCCGGTTCCTGTTTTTCACACCTTTTTACGAGCGAATGTAACCGTTGTAACCACTGTTTTCATTTTATTAGCATTTCATTATTTTACTACTATTGTTTGCGCTCGAATGGTCGCTCTGTGAGGCATCGCTGGAAATTATTCTATCGCGTTGCAAAATAACGTTTCGATTATCAAATTTATTTGTGTTCGAGAAGCTGTCGAAAGTGTGACCATTGTACGAGTTACAAGGCTCTGTTTCGCGCGATTAAAATCACCGAGTCGTTTACAATGTAAATAACGTGGATCAGAAAAAACTATTTCGAATTCACAGTTGAAATGCTTTCGAGTGCGAAAGGTTTAACCCTTTGCGGACGAGCATTTTTAAAATGCTAAGGACATTTCCTTCAGAGAACTAGATTAAAAAATTTTAACGATGCGAAAAACGAACAATATATTCTGATGTTTCATTACGCACACAATTAAATTATACGTTCACGTTCTCTGAAATAAAAGATACAGTCCCGATGTCATCGATACGTCGATATTCGTCCTCAAAGGGTTAACCCTTTGCACTAGGGTGGTGATTCCGAGGCACCGCTCAATATTTTTATATGACATTCTAAAATAATGTTTTACATCATTAAATCTATTTATTTTTAAAGAACTGTTAAAAGCATAATTATCATATAGACTAAATTTCACGTGCAAAAATTGCACTAATAAGTCATACAAAATGGAAATATCGTAGGTCATCCAAAACTGTTTTGGACTTAGAGTTAAAATGGCGTCGAGTGCGAAGGGTTAGTATCATTATCGTTGCGCCGAATTTTTGTAGCTCGCATCGAAAGGGCACTCGGCAGGTCGGCGTTGAACAAACAAATGAAGATGGAACGGCGAGAAAGACGAGAGGTGACCGGTCCGAAGTGAACGGAACGGCCGCAGTCTCATTACGGGCGTCTCGCAGTCGGCCTCGACACCCTGTCACTTCATCATCGCCATTATGATCACCGTCACCGTTAGCCGGTGATCCTCGGCGTCCGCGAGTTTCCCTTCGGACGTCGATCATCGGTGTCGCGGGATTTCCAGCTGTCGCGGGATCCCGTCGCGGCGACGGTCGCAGCTGCGGCCTGCCGCGATCAGCCGTGATCGACGAAACGCGGCCGCGTTCCGGTCGAACCGACGCGGCGCTTAAATCGCGTTATCGCCGGAAGGGCCGCTAAATGGAACAACGTTGAAGAGGAAATCGAGCGAGAGAGAGAAAGAGAGAGAGAGGGACCGACCGATTGGAATAATCGCTGGCGCGAGGTCAGAAGTCGTCGGCGACACGATATTCGGTCGGCCCGATTTTCCGGGGACGCGTCGCGTCACGTCGACGCGTGACGCCGTTGGCTCGCCGCTGACGAATCGGAAGCGTTTTCATCCGACACACGGTTTTTCGGAACGGGAGGAACGTTCGCGGAACCGACTCCTCCCCGTGTAAGTAACGTTTAGGCCGCGGCTCGCAAGCTTTTTCGCGGAACGCGAAGCTCGCGTGACGACGGCATTGTCACCCTAGGATCGGCGCGCCGTGCCGCGACGCGTCACCCGAGGGGTTCCGCTCGATTCCCGATAAGGAGAGAGTCAACGATCATCGTCGCGGCACGAAAACAACCAAAACTTCATCAAGGAGCCTGCGCTCCTCAATTGCACAAGCTCTTACGATAGCGGTCGGTGATGGATTGCACGCCGGTCGATAGCTCTTGACTTCCTGTATCGGCATCGCCGCCACCGCCGCCGGTTTTCGCGATAGTGACCCCCGGTAATTCTGCTGGCGTTGTGTGCGAACGGTCCGACGTTCATGCCGCGGAACAGATTTAGCCGAGGATCGGACTGGAATACGGATCGCCCCATAAGCCACTGCCCTGGCAACGCTGAGGGCAGATAGGCCACACCCACTTGGAATTACCTACAAAGAATGCAATAAGGGAAACAGTCGGGGAATCGAATACATGAATTTGTCAGGGAACAAATTCGCTATTTTTACTATATTAACCCTTTGCACTCGAAGCCATTTTAATTGTGAATCCAAGTTAAATTTTCTGACTTATAGTATTTCCATTTTATACGATAAAGTCCATTTCATGCGTATGAAATTGAGTCTTGCGACTCATACAACAGTAAGACTTTGAACAATCTTTTATGTCTAAGCTTTGATAATGTAAACATTATCTTGGCACGTAGTGTAACAATTTCAGCGGTGCGTCGGAGTCGCCACTCGAGTGCAAAGGGTTAGTTTGCGCTATTTTTATCGAATTAATTTACTCGAGTTAACTTGTCGAATTTATTTTCATCGAATTAGTTTCGTAATCGTTATAGGAGAAATTGCGAGGTCGCTCGAAGAGAGGTGACTCAACTTTGAAAGTAACGTCAACACTAAACCTACCGTGCTATAAAAGTTGCTGACCATGTGTTGCTTTATAAGAATGAATAAGATTGAATTTATTCAGTCTCTTCGCCGTTTTTAATATAATATAACATGGAATAAAAAGGAATTTACTTAATCGAAAACAAAGTCTTCATAGTCTCAACAATTTGAAAATAAATAATATCGGTCATTTTGCTACGACCAAATAAAGTTATAAAATCCTTAGTAAAATAATAAATGTTTGTAAAGTTGTAAAATAGGGAGAACCGGTCCGCGATAGGTTTAGCGTAAAAATTAAAGTTTCACCGCGCGTCTCTTGACCTTTCCGGTAAAAATAGCGTTAAAATCGTATCGGAGAGCTAGGCGAACGCGCTCCGGGGGCCTTGTTCGAAGACCTAGACCTTGTTCCGGTCGATTACCACCTGTTTCCTTCTCCATTGTCATTGACCACTCGGCAAATATCGAATATCGCGGCGGCAGAATAGTGCGACGCGTTTCTCGCGTCCGCTGCAGAATCGATCCGAACCAGACGGAAACGCGAGCGTGTGTATGCAGAGCTGGTAGTTCGATACCGGTATTACCCGAGATACATCGAGTCCAGGTGAACTTCTCTTATGTATATACATGAGCCACTAAACTTCCCGATTAATGTTCCCGCGATCCGTATCGGCTGAGTCGGCAGCGGACGGCTTCCTGGTAACGGCGTTATGGTGCGATGTGTGTATGTTTATGTGGTTCTATCCGGCAGAGGAGATTGTTGCGACAAGAAACGTTAACATCCGGAATTCTCGCGACAAAAAAGACCGCGACGCCGCGCCGACGTTGTTTCCACGGAGGAAATCCCCGGTGTTCACGGTCCAGGATCGCCTTCCGTCCGTCGAACCGGAACACCGCTTTCTACGCAGAAAACGAATCGAAACGCATCGGAACAGGCCGCTTATCGGAACCGGTTATCACAAAATTTACTGGCCGAGAAACTCCGCCGAATTCCGCGAGAGATCCGACCGGCCGCATACCATCGATACGTAGAAAACATCCTCCGTTCTCGCTATGCAATCCATTATCTTTTCCCGCGCGTTATTTATGTCACCGCGATTTTCCTCGTTCTTATCTCGCTCCGTTTAATTTGCATCCCTCTCTCGGCGCGGTATTTCCTTCGCGGGCGCGGTATTTCCTTCGCGGGCGCGGACTCGAATTCTACTACACGCGACTACGATATTTTTATCGGCGCGCCGATTCATTCGTCCACTTTGTTTCCTATTACATCATCAGCGAGCGCTGTTCGCCTGCTGTTCGTTAATGAACGATGTCGATAAGGGCCGATCGGAAGCAATGGTTTAGGGAAACGACGCCGCGGGAAGGAGCGCGAGAGACGTGATCTGCCTTTCGAGAGCCTCGAGTGGGCGTGGCCTCGATGCTCCCGATATTTGCAGATTTTTTTTAGGTGTCCTACTAACTTAAGGAATAATAGCGATGAAAGAGCGCCTTCGTTATTTTCTTCGTTTTTCTATTAAAATGCTCCGAGTGGGCGTGGCTTCGCTGCTCTCGATACTGGGCGGAGCCAATGTGGTGTTCCAAAGGGCAATCGTTGCTTAAACTTACCTGAAGGGATCCTGTAAATTTCTGCTTTTGGATATTTGTAATAGAAAAATATCGATAAAAGAACGCCTCCGTTATTCGCGTAAAATGCTTCGAGTGGGCGTGGCTTCGTTGTTCCCAATTCAGGCAGAGCCAGTGTAGTGATCCAAAGGACAATCCTTGCTCAAGCTTACCTCAAGGGATCCTATAAACTTCTGCTTTTTGATATTTGTAATCAAAAAATGCCGGTAAAAGAGCGTCTCTGTTATTTTCCCGGCGCAAAGTGCTCCGAGTAGGCGTGGCTTCGTTGCTCCCAATTCGAGCAGAGCCAATGTAGTGCTCTAGAGAGCAATCCTTGCTCAAAATTACCTCAAGGGATCCTGTAAACTTCTACTTTTACACATATGTAATAAAAAAAAATACCCAAGTGCTCTGAGCGGGCGTGGCCTCGTTGCTCGCAATTCGGACAGAGCCGGGGCAGTACCACGTAGAGCGATCATTGCCCAAACTCTTATTTAGAGCAACTGATAATCTACTACGTTCAAGTATTTTACAACAGAAGCATCTTTAAGAGAACGTCTATTTTATTCCTTCCATCCGGATCGGTTCGCGTAGGCGTGGTTTCGTCGCTCCCGTTTTCGGCACGTCCGCGTTAGCCGCGGCCAGAGAGGGCAATCTTTGCGTGGGCTCGCGATGTATGTACTCTCTTGCTGAAACGAGCGGCGCTCGGCCGGCCGCTTGTTACACAGCTCGTTCCAGGAATCGAACGATCGTCGCAAGGTAGAAGCGTGATTCATTGGATACGCGTCGCTCCTGCTCGCCCCTCGTGTCATTCGTCCTCGTCGAAAGCGGTGAATTGCTGCTCGTTGCGACTCGTTGCGTTTCTCGCTAATGTCCCGTAATATTTCCGTAGTACGCCGCGGCGCGCCGATGACTAAGCCAATTTCGCGGTGTTCTTTTGAAGCGAGCGGTGCGCCATGGTGTGCGTGCGCGATCTATAATGTACGGCGATCTATAGCGAGCGCGTCGCGTGTTCCGTGCCACTGGAGATCACTTCGCTCGGGGATTCCTGATCGATCGATCTCTCCTCCTAGATAGCGGAGCGAATAGCATTGACCCTAAAAACGCCGAGGCTGAGGCGAGTCGGTCGAATGCAACGTTTATCCGTTTGACCGAATCGATGTTCTGTCTTCAACATTTTCAGGAATAAGTTGACAAATGAATCCGTCGATTCGTTTCGACGAATCGGCTGGGTTCGATCCTTCGGAGCCGTTTTAACTCGAAATCCAAAATAGTGCTTCCTATACCATTTTTATTTCATAATTATATTGATAATATATATTATATTTTAGAATATATAATATATAAATATATTATTATATATTTATTTATGTACCATTTATATTTTATAATTTGCTGCATTTTGTACATATGAAACTGAATTTTGTGACCCGTGCTGAAATTACTAATTAATTTAACAGTATTTTAGATATAAACAAATTTGACGGCGTTGAAGTTATCTTGAAACACGGTATAATAATTTTTTAATTATTGATAGACTGCACAGGGCTAATATACTGGTTTAATTACGCCGATCTTGGATCGAGTTCGGATACAACTGATTTATCTGAAATCATAGTCTTGCTTGCGACATCGTTTGTTCGAAGATCGGGCCGCTGCTCGTAGATCAAGATGGAAAAATCGTCTGAAACGATCAATGTCGATCCGAATGAACCGAAGAAAGGCTTAACCGCCAGTTGACCCGTTGCACTCCGAAGTGACATTTGACGCGACGACAATGCTTTCCTTTAAAACTCGAGTCACTGTTCGAGCTTCTCATGCTCGATCAGCGGGAACAAGTGAAATCAGAGTTCGCCGACAGCAAGTCGAGGGACACGTAACGGATTCACCGGTCGACGTTCGACGCGTTTCATTCTTCCCGGCAGGATTTTTATTCGTAGAACGCCCGGCAAAATTCGTAACGGCGAAAGAATGATTTATGATTGTCGTAAAGAGAATGAACGCGTCCGCGTGGGTCCGAGCACATAATCCGTCGCTTGTGAAATTTCAGCGGATCGAGCGACCCTGAAGACTACCAAAAAGAAAGAAAGAAAAAAAAGAAGCCAACGGAGCTATTCGAATTTTACTAATTTGTCCGCTTACCGTTCCAACATGACAACCGCCGCGACCGCCTTCGCATGAATGACGAGAACGGCAATGTTTCTTGCGTCGCAAGTGAACAAATTCCTCGGCAGATTGAAATCATCTTTTCGCGAGTCACGCTCCCACGACACGTTACAGTCGGCGATGTTGCACCGGCTTTCAATAGTGATTACGAGCGTTGCTCGATCCTCCCGGTAAAACCACCTGCAAAGGAAAAAAAAGATTCTATTAATAATCGTCGACCGTTGTCGATGTAATTGTATAAATCGAATCATCTTCCGCGATCGTTTCTGTACGCAGAAATAACGAAAGTAGATCGCCGCGAATCAGTGGACGGTCGTTACGCGGCGGCGCCCGCGGATCTACAAAATAACTCTCGAATTAGCAATTACGAAACATGCGAACACAACGCGACGTCGAACAGATACCCGGTTCTATTAATAATCCTCGAGAGTGTCTTCGACTGAACCGCAAATAAATTCCTCCGCGATCTTGCCGTACGGATACAAACAAACGAAGCAGCCTCGATCGGAGGGCAACGTTAAGGATCGCTTTCGGAAGCCGCAAGAACCGCTCTCAAATTAGCAAAATGATTAGACGAGTACGAAGAGAAGAAAATTGGCTCGTCCGTTTAACATGTTAAAGGCGCACTTAGGATCGGCGGTTTCAGCTGAAAAGGTCACGTTGGTTAGGCTTGTTCGCGGAACAACGTTTCAAGAAATGTTTCAAAGAACAAAGAAACGGAATGACGCGAATATCTCCGGGGAAATCTCCGGCGGAAAAATCGGGGCCGATGCAAACGAGGCAAAGAAGCGACCTGTTGCCGTCGCATACGGCCATACGGATCTCGGCGAGGAATCCCGTCAAGGACTGTCCCGGCCGGAAGGAAACGGAGGCAGGAGGCGAAGCCAAAGCCAGCCGAAGGACCTCGTCGTCGGCGACGATCTGTGTGTCGACGTCGACGTCGCCGCCGCTGCCCATCATCGACACCATCGACACCCGTCGCCTCTCCTCGAGTGTCCGAAGGGGTTACACAGGGATGCCGTGCCGGTGAATCGCTAAAAATGAAGAAGCCCCATACCGGAGCAGCGCGGTCTCGCTCGTCCAACGAACTCTCGGTGATCGAGAAGGATCGCCGCGTTCCCAAGGCCGAACGTGTCCCCCGAAACCGCTAGATCGGCGGTGCCACGGCGTGCCGCGCGCGTCAATAGCGACAAAGCGTTCCGGAGACCCGCGGTTTCCCGATCGCTTGACCATCCGAGCCGCCTCTTACCCGAGGGGAGAAACCGATCGAGAGGGAAAACGGCTCCGCTACCGTTTCGAACTCTCCATATTGAGTCACCGAACAAGGGGAACCCGCGAACTCTGCTACTGCGCAGCTCCGTTCGGAAACGAGCAATCAACGGCCGCCAAGGAAAATCTCGCGAAAATCAGAACGATTTTCAAATCTGATCCTCGCAAAATTCGAAATACTAAGCGAAATAACACTTCGATTAGGATTCGACAATGTACGGTGGAAATTCGATTGTACGAATACAAAATTCATAGGTAATTTATCTTCGTTTTCGATGAATTGTTACATATAGTATATTATTATTATTATTATTATTATTATTATTATTATTATTATTATTATTATTATTAT